ATTCGCCCAAACTGCCCAGTCTGTTATAAAGGGGTTATAAAGTTTGCAAAAGACTCCTGAAATTTGGGAAATCTGGAATTTACGAAGCCACATCTTTAATAAATAGACAAAATGGGTAGCCAGAAGGTCCAAACAAGCACCAAGGACGTAGAGAGAGAGGTGGAAGGATTCAGCTGAATAGGACTTGCTCGACACAAGTATAGTTGTTTTGTCAAAAAGCTACATTTATGACAGATTGGATATTATGATTGATTTTGTTTCTCCGATACTTTTATTTTCCAACTACCCATTAATCATCATCTGCTCCTTGTTCTAGGTATCATAATGCTTTGTCTGGAGGGAAAAATCACTCCCGGGAACTGAGAGCACATCTGCTTATGGCGGCAGATCCGACGGGTAACAGTGTGGACGACGCTCTCCGTCTCTACCACATAAGGGCCTCTTTCCTCCAGTTGCGAATTGTCTCTTCTATAGGATCGCCCGTTTAACTCGTTTTACACTCGTCTCAATAGGTTCATCACCAGGCTCCCAGGAATGCCCGAGGGGTCACCCATCAAACTTAACGCTTCTCAACCTTTTTCAGCTGTTACAGTCCAGATTCGTTACCCAGTAGTTAGCGTGCAAGCCCTGCTAATTGCTGATGTTGTGTAATGCCCACTCCCCCCTTTTTCCATTTTGTAATTAAATCGCACCTCAAACAAAATAAGGAACTACTTATAATACTTTGACTTGGCAAGCCCCACTAGATCACGCCAAGACCAAGACATCACTAGGCATGTCCAACACTTACTTGAACAAGAAATGAAATGCATTCTAAATTGATAGTATAGAAATTATTCATATTATAGAGGTAACAATTTTTGTGATTTCAGGTGCACGGGAAAGAAGAAAAAGTTGAGCTGCATTTACCTGTTTAGAATTTACACATAACAATGCTAAACCAACAATAACAAAACAAGCGACTTTCCAAAATCTGCACGGATCGCTGAGCATTCGCCACGCTGTTTGCGTAAATGACGAGAACCTCTTACACAAAATGTATGTCTTCCTTGTTAAAGGCCAACAGCAGTGCCAGAAAGTCTTCTGTATCCAGCTGTCTTGCGCGTTTTGTCGCAAAACCACTTTCCGTCAATATCTTCTCCACTTTTTCTTTCATATTAAACGTTTTTTCAATTGTCTGAAAAGCAAACTAATGGCCATCACAAAATGGACCACTGGTTGGAAATTATAGTTTTATGCTCAAAGCAAATCAGTGACTCGTATCCACCAAACAGACAAACAGTCGCTCTACGGTCTACTGAATAATTTCAGCAGGCAATTACTCAAGTTCAACTTGAGCAGGTTGTAAGAAATACGGGAGGGGGAGGTGTGGTATTGACCGAAGCAGTGGCTTGTTAGGGCTAGAAGTGGTGGTAGGGGGACGTACGGGGGTGCTAGTTTAATGAGGGAAATGGGATAATGAGTGAAAAGGAAATGAGGCCTCGCATGGAGGTAGGAAGTGGAAACAGGAGCGGGTATTGTTAGTAACTACTTTTCCACAGTAGGCTGCTGCCGAAAAGAACTTCTTGCAAATATCGACAACGGCAAGTGTGGTTAGTACTATTTATATCTGGTCAGCAGGAGTTACGTAAGATGATGGGAAATAACCTACCTACAAAAAAAAATTTTTTTTTTTCAATAAATTATCCAGAAATTTGAAAATTTTATGCTCAAAAACGCTAAAAAACACAGTGCTGTGAACAGCAATGCTGTTTTTCTTGCAAAGTAATGCTGCACCACAGAATATCGGAACCACAATCAGTTTTTTTGAGAAACACTCAGATGGCCAGGCATTGAAAGCTTTGTCAGTCTGCTTCTCCCAACAAAGCCCCTTTCACTCCACTCTCGACGCTTTTGCTTCTCACGAAAAATAAAGTACAGAAGGGAGTCACAATAGAATTGCTTACTGGAAAGTCAAGGGTTATGAAGTATGACAGGAAGTGAATGACTGGAATGACTTAGACCTTATTTGTGATGCTGCACAGTGTCCTGTAGTTCTTCTCCAGTGACTCACATACTTGATTCTTCTTGAACAGCGACAACAGAGTTTTATTTTTCCGGAGGAAGATAATCCGCAATAAACTGTCCCATTCCTGCAATAGTGAGAAGCATATTCTGTAAAAATGTAGCTTGCTGCGACTCATCAGCAAAATTTGTGAGGAATTTGATGAGATAATCTTCATGAATAGCTTGGAAATGTGATCGCGATAATTAACAAAATACAATCGATGAAATAATGCATAAATCTGAGAGTGGAAAGTTCATCTCCGCCGGTGTGATAACTGTTTCTCTACGATTCATTCATTCTTTTGATGCCAAATGGTCAGTGACAGATTGCACAAATA